CCTTCTGCATGCCAAGCAGAGGCTCTGCCACTAAGCCACAGCCCCTCTTTGCAGCTCTCCAGGGTCTCAGGTGGAGGTATTTCACATCACCTCCTGACTGGTTCTTTTTAACTGGAGATGCTGCCGGAGATTGAACCTGGGACCTTCTGCATGCCAAGCAGAGGCTCTTCCACTGAGCCACAGCCCCTCTTTGCAGCTCTCCAGGGTCTCAGACGAAGGTCTTCCACATCACCTCCTGCCTGGCCCTTTTTAACTGGAGATGCCGGGGACTGAACCTGGGACCTTCTGCATGCCAAGCAGAGGCTCTTCCACTGAGCCACAGCCCCTCTTTGCAGCTCTCCAGGGTCTCAGGTCCAGGGTCTCAGGCAGAGGTCTTTCACATCACCTCCTGCCTGGCCCTTTTTTAACTGGAGATGCCGGGGATTGAACCTGGGACCTTATGCAGTCCAAGCAGAGGCTCTGCCACTGAGCCATAGCCCCTCTTTGCAGCTTTCCAGGGTCTCAGGCGAAGGTCTTCCACATCACCTCCTGCCTGGTCCTTTTTAACTGGAAATGCTGGGGATTGAACCTGGGACCTTCTGCCTGCCAAGCAGAGGCTCTTTCACTGAGCCACAGCCCCTCTTTACAGCTCTCCGGGGTCTCAGGCGGCGGTCTTTCCCATCACCTCCTTTTAACTGGAGATGCCGGGGATTGAACCTGGGACCTCCTGCATGCCAAGCAGAGGCTCTACCACTGAGCCACAGCCCCTCTTCACAGCTCTCCAGGGTCTCAGGCAGAGGTCTTCCGCATCACCTCCTGCCTGGTCCTTTATCTAGAGAAGCTGCTGGGGATTGAACCTGGGACCTTCTGCATGCCAAGCAGAGGCTCTGCCACTGAGCCATGGCCCTTCCTCAAAGAAGACACACCTGAAGCAGCCTCACACTGAACCAGACCATCCATCCATCAAAGGTCAGTCTCGTCTACTCAGCGGCTGTCTCTCCAGGGTCTCAGGCAGAGAAAGGTCTTTCCCATCACCTCCTGCCTGGCCCTTTTTAACTGGAGATGCTGGGGCTTGAACCTGGGACCTTCTGCCTGCCATTCATAGGCTTTCCCCCTGGGCCACAGCCCCTTCCCTGGGATCTTGGGAAGCTGCTGCTTGTCAGAGGAAAGCATGTCCAGCTGGGTTGGGCCAGTGGTCTGTCTTGGCTTCTGAAGGCCCTCAGGCAGGAGTCCCCCATGCGGATCATGATGACCCTGATGAGAAGCAAAACCAGGGTTCATTTCCTGCGGGAGCACACTGGAGCGGACATCCGAACGCAGTTGAAGCGGAAGCTTCCAAGTTACTTGGAGCTCCTCTTGGGAGGAACCGGAGCCAAAAAAACCCAGCCAGGCTTTTGATGGGGCTCTCTGTACGGGAGCACATCCAGCCTGTGCTCAAGGCATTGCACTGGCTGCCGATAGCATACCGGATTCATTTCAAGGTGCCGGTTCTTACCTTTAAAGTAAGACACAGGGAGGGGGAAACCAACCTGACCCAAAAACTGGAATCAAGAACCACGAGGGCAAGAAAGAAGTCTGATAAAGGGGCCGATATGAAAAACCTGGTTGAAACTTATAATATACAAAAAT